CTCTTAAAATGTTATTTTATCAAATTTTTTTAAACTGTTTATGCATGCTGTGCCAAAAACATTAACTGTGAATTACTTCATATCTCACTAATTTTTCGAAAAATATGTCGATACAGTTTTAAATGTTACAATTAATTTAAATTTTTATAGCAAAAATGTAGTTTGATGCTATGCATAATTCGTTGCGCCCGAGTTCTGCGTAAATAACTGCAGATTTTTTATATTGATTTTCAAGAAGAATTTTTCAACTAGGATTATTTAGCTAATCTAACGGGATCTTCGACGTGGGCATGACCTAACATAAATCGAACTTGAATGTATCCTCTTCTCCTTTTTTTATCGAATTAGCTAATCTAATAAAGTTTTCGTATACGTTACATGAGCTGAATTTCTTTTTTCATAATTTTTTTGTGAACATGACGCTAACAATGCTAGCTGATCACTTATGTATGCAAAATAAATTATTTTGAATAAGAATAAATAAAAAAAAATGACATAGTTACCTTTGAAAATAATTTTAATTTGAGGTGTAAGGTGTTTCTTGCAAAAATGGTGCATTTAAGTGAAACTGAGCGCATATAATTATTAATGACGGTTTCAAAAACCCTTAAAGAGCGTCCAAAACCTGGCAGGCTAAAATCTGCTACAAATGATGAAAATGCCCTTAATATCCTCTTAAACCCAACAGAAAATCCGAAAACATCAGTGCAACAATCAGCGCTGAATCACAATGTTAGGTGAAAATCAATTAAAAAAATAATGAAAAAGAAAAAGTTTCACTCTCACAAAATACATTTGGTACAAGAGTTAAACGAAGATGATTTTGATCCTAGAGTTGAATTTACTGAAATTATAATGAACAAAATACAACAAGACGAAAATTTTATCAACAGGATTTTGTTTTCTGACGAATCTACGTTTTGTTTAAATGATCATGTCAACAGACACAACTTCAGGTACTGGTCTGACACAAATCCATATTAGATGGAGCAAACCATCCAGAAAAACTAGATGTTTGGTGCGGCATTATTCAAGTACAGTAAGATCACTTTAAAAGCATACTAATAAAATTTTATGACATAATTAGGATTATTTGGTTGACAATACCGAGTCTACTTTTCGCAGTAGGGTCTTTGGAAACTTGTAAACCCTGTCGCGTGCCTGCAGAATTTTCTGTGCTTCCCCAAGCAGCCGGTCTTTGGCAGTCGTACCTGCATAATTTATGGTTTCAAAGTTTTGCGGATTGGGTTTTTTGATTAAAGTTGTAAAATATTGTCTGTATGCTTTTAAAGTGATAGTATAATTGGACCTTTTTTTTATTAAGGGAATTTAAATTCTGGGGGATACTTAAGGCTGCTGTGGGAACGTATAGCGCCTAGACTTAGAGAATTGTTTCCCAATTACCCAAATCCGGAGTTACGAGCAGAAACTATTTGGTTTCAACAAGACGGTGCTCCACCCCATTTTGGACGTCAGAGAGTACTTAAATAAAAGTTTTCCCGAGAGATAGATAGATCGAAGGGGTTCTATTGAGTGGCCTGCCAGGTCACCGGATTTGACACCGCTTGACTTTTTTCTGTGGGCATATTTGAAGAATCGCGTTTATATCAATAGACCGATTCACATTGAAGACTTACGGGAACGCATCCGTAAAGAAATTGCTACGTAGCATTCGTCCAGAAATTCTCATTAACTTACTCCAAAATTTTATTCAGCGTCTTTTTTACTGCCAGGAAGTAAATGGAGAGCATTTTGAGCATCTTTTGCAGAAAACAGAAGTTTAATTTTTATTTCGGTTGTTATTGGCTAATTTATTTATTGTTTAGTATTAATTAAAATTAATAATTATTATTAATTTAACAAATTGTTGGTTAATAATTCATTTTGCCATTTCGATTTAGAAAGAAAGCATGATTGTGCTATATCAATGAATTAAAAAAAAGCTCTATTCAAAAATGCATTAGATATATCGTAGTGCCATTTAAAAAAAATCAAGTTGGCGTTATTACATCTCGAAAACAAATGAAGTAAAAAAAAATTTTTTGGCGAATAATTAAAGCGCAACTTCTTCTACCCCTGTACCTAATTTCAGGTGATCTGTACAATTGGTTCTTAAGATAATTTAACTGTTTCCATACATTCTAGCGACCCTGTATATGTTAAAAATTTTTAAAAGGTTATTTGACACACTATAAAGTTAAACTAGAAATTCTGTGATTTTTGATATGAAACAATAGTTTTGTTGCAATGAACGCTAGTAGTGGGAAAAGTATAATAAATACACGTAAATAATTAACTCATTTTAGTAAATGATTTAATTTTTTCTGGTATTCGCCTATTGTTAGAACATCGTGATTAGGTATCATAACGGCATTTTAAAACACGTTGCATGTTTCTTTTATTCTTACTGTGGAGACCTTTAAATTTTAAAATGGGTAAAGTATATGTACAGTTCGTACACTACATCAGTATCTAGTAAAATTTTACAACCGCTACTTTGAGGGATAGTCGGACAATGCAGGGGGATAATGACGCCAATAAAAGGAGCGTGCCGCCAGTCTACAGTGGGCTAGAAACATCCAGGGTTGTATTGAATTTGTGATTTATGGTTTTGTGGGTCCAACCTTCATGTTTAACTTTGAAATACTAATAAAATTTTATTAGGTACTGATGTAGTGTAGGAACTGTAGATATGCATTGTTTTCATCTGTGTTTTTTTATAAACTAATATTTTGCTAGTTCAGCGCGTAAGTTTTTGTTAATGTTTCTAATTAAGAATGTAAGAAAGCAACTTAGTGTTTTATACTTTTCCAAAATTAAGTGCAAATTCTTGATGGCAATCGCAGTTTCACAGGCAATAAAGGATATTATACTTAGACTCATTAATAAACAATATGAATAAAAAGGAACTTAACACTAAGCGCTCTCAGATAATTTTTAACGTAAATTGTATCGTTTGCATATATTTACATGTTGTGTAACTATATCTAATGTGTTCCTGTTCTAATACTCGGAGAGCTAATTTGTTTTAATAATGTGTTATTCCTTCGATTCTGACTAATCAAAGAGGTTTCAATAGACTTTATGACCTCTCGTGACCTTAAAATTTGATAATTTTGCAGAGTACAGACAGCCTGCGTGCTAAGTTAATCAAAAATTTATAAAAGAACCTAAATAAATTACAAACATTCAGTTCTGTACATTTTATACTTGATAAAAAATAACCAAAAGGATTGTTATCTACTTAAAAAAAATAATTGACATACCTGTTTAGTTGATTCATTAACACCTTAGATGATATTTGATAAGACAAATTTGATGCAAAAATATCTATAAGTTACTAGATGTAGATCGTTCGTAATATTTCTACTGGTTGATTTGCAAATCACTTCAAACTTTTTATTGCAGATGGAACTGGGCATGTTTTTAACTATTAGATTTACATCAATGATTTATATTTAATATAAATTATGTTTTTTTAAATTACAACGTATATTTTTAAAACGTATTAAGGCACTTATGTTTGTCGTATTAGTTATAACTTATAACTATAGAAAATATAAATTATTATCTAAATTAAGACATATATTATCAAGAAAATATAAGTGAAAAGACAATTACAAGGTACTGATGGTCAGAAATCTTGGACTATTGCAATGATTCTAAAAAACATGTATTTGCTGTGGCGGTATATAAAACATTTGAGGCATTAGTGACACTTGCCTGATCTAGAAGATTTAAAAAACTAAATTGGAAATGTTTGCCTTTTTAACGCGTGATATACCTACAGTTGCTATTAATCTCGAACTAATAAATGTAAAATAATCTGGTTGTACTGTTATTTCACTCACCTTTTTTTTCATATTTATAACTTTTATTTTTTTTATCGATTGAAAATTAAATACACACCAAAGTTTTTATTATATCTACATATTGTAGTCGTAATTTAATGATATACCAAAATCCGTTAAAAATATAAAGATTGCTATTTAAGATAGCATTGGTTATATTTGCAATTGCAATCCGTTCTCAATTTTTATCTGTCACAACTGTATACATATTTTGGGAGAATCTTAAATATGGTTATTTATACAGTATTCGAATATATGTTTATAGCAGTTTGCATATCTACACAATTAAAATGTGGGACACTTTTCTTTCCCCAGTGTAACTTTCAAATTTTTATTGACTTTTAAATATCAGTTTCAATGAATTCATTGAGTCCACTTTATACAACAAAATTTTTTGAAAAAATGCTTTAAAGGGGTGTCCTACTTTATTTTTTTTAAATCAAGACCAACTTGATGACTTTTTCAATTGAACACCAGATATGTATTGGCAAATTTTGCTAGAACATAACATTTTCTAAATTACACTAATCTTTATCAAAAATTTAGTTGACGATGAAACTTCCTTGCCTGCAATGATATGTTGACGTCATTGCTCAACAATGTTAGCTTACGATTTAAATGTGAGGCAGAATTGAGTTCTTTAGCAATGGAAATGTAATCATTGTAATAATAAAACCATCTTACGAAAGAACGAGACTGTGCTCCATTTTTTTTATTTAAAAAATGCCGCTGTTGAACTGTAAAAACATTACATAATCAAAACTATATATTGGAGATGTCAAAATCGTCCAAAATATAGTGTAAATCGTAACTGATGAAAAATTTTTCAAAATATGAAACCATGTATACTTGCCTTTAATAAATCAATGATGATATCTTTTGTTCTTCACCGTTAGGTATATTCTTTGCTTTTAAGTAGTCATGCCAAGGACATGAATGTAGTAAACGTGTGTAAACATGTAATATTATTTTATGTGATTATTATGTGCAACTTGTATGTTAACTACTCAATGTAAAGATCTTTTTATTGCAAAAGTCAGTCTTAATTATGTAATAATAAAACAGGGGGACAAATGCTCCCCTCTAACTCCCCTAAACGGCGCCACTAAGTTAAACGCACTTGGGTCGATACGATTGTCTTTGTTGCAGGAAGGGCGACAAGTGCAGTTATAGAACACTACATGAAAGTCAGGCAGGAAGGCCAGTGCCGGAAACCGCAACCGAAGGTGGTGTCGGTGCAAAGCGAACATCCTGACCCCAGTAAGACTTACACCCCGCATTGCACTATTTTGCATCGGTGTGCCGAAGATACAGGATGTTGCTCAAACTTCGAAACGAAATGCGGACCGAAGACGCAAGTTCCGGTGCATTTATACTTTTACGTAAGTATTTAGAGCTTAGTTTGGACAGGTATTTGCTAAACTTTGAGGTTGAGGTCAGGTTAGTAATTCTGCTAAAAAAACGTCTTTTATGCAGTGTCTGAACTAACAAAAAAATTACTACCTGCATCTGTCATTTATCAGAAAATTATGCAACGATTTTTACGTTTTCATTAGATGGACGATGTTGCTACTATTTTTCCCAACTGTACATAAGCTGAAGTGTAACTTTATAACCAAAGCTCTAGATTAAGACATGCGCATGCATTGCATGGTTCTTGAACGAGTAACTTTTTATAACAAGTGAAATGATATTGTTTTGTCCTGTTAAACGTAGACATAAACTATACAGCCTAAACACCAGTTTCTTGCAAACAACACCACAACGAGAAACACGAGATTTGTCCTCTGAAACGCGCCCTATTCGATGTGACTCTGGTCTTTTATTTACTATATCGGTTACAACTTAGTCCGTGACGCTGTTCATTTTTCACCACATTTCGACTTTATAAAATCAGGTTAGCAACCACACTCCGAAAATTCTTTCAACAGGTACTAGACTGCGAACCCAATCAAAAACAAATCTGAAAGGGGTAATAATACTTAATCTCGTAATAACGACGCAAAATGTTAAAATTGTTTAAACTGCGTCCAACAAATAGAACATATGCATTGGGCGATCATCGATTACACATATTTAACACATTTCAAATTTTAGAAATTAGTCTAAACTTATTTAGAAAGAACTTCCCTCGCCCCCCAAGCACAATCAAATAAATTCAGTGCCTTAGATAATAAAATTTGATTCTCCGAACTTTTTTTTTGTGATAACGGCTGTAAGTTAACTTAAAAATAGATGCAGACTGTTAAACAACAAGCAAAGAAGTATGCTTTGTGTATATCTTAAGTAAGTTTTCCTAAATATGATGTCATCAACTTCTTAGTAGGGATAAATATATCAGTTTGAATAATAAGTGCAGAAAGGGGTGCGGTACGGTACTGGTCAAAATCCCGGTACAGAGATCACGCTAAGTTAAGCATTGGATAAGTGACCGGTGAAGGTTCAGGGTTTACAATTTTGTATGCGAGTCATTTAGGCTTTTTATAAAGAGGTTTTTTTTTAATAAAAAAATAGCGACAGAAATTACCACAAAACGATTTTTCAAAATTGAGTGGTTCATATATCATACATAATCAGCATATTCCTGCTTTGAACAAGTTGCAAGGAAAATGTGTGATTGTAATGGAAAATGCACTATACCATTCGGTGCAGTTGAAGAAAGTATTGAAATTAATTCAACCTTTTGAAAGTGATCGGAAAAAACGATTTTTGAAATACGAGATACATTGTCAATATAAACTTATTGAAATGGCGTGGGGATTGTGTAAATCCGACTACAACAAGCACATAACTTTTGGACCTGAATGTACTTCAGAGATGTGGCAACACTTTAGTAGACATTGTCGAGAACTTATTTCAGCTGATTGGAAATATGTACTACATGGGAAATTTGTCGTTGAAAAACATACCTCCATTCGTCATTTCATCTGATTCAGAATCAGAATCAGAATGTGATGATAATGACGACTGAGATTTGTACAACGAAATAATGGAAGCTGATTTTGAATAATAGGTAGATAAACTTAATAAGTGAAAATAACTAAAACTCTTTACTTAAATGCATCTTGCCAGAGTACAACCGTTTATCAAAATTAAAATACAACAGGTAAAGATTTACTTTTAGATGGTAGGAAAAAGATTTTAGGGTACAGAAGACCATTGAAGAAAAAATGCACGATTCTTGTGAAAATACAGTAGAAAATTATAGAACAATTTGCCAATTTCTGTACCTAACTTCATTTTCCAGCAGTATGTCTTTCATTCATGACTTTGATTAGTTATTACATCCAAACTTCAATTAAAAAAATAATTTTAAAAGTTTTATAGAAATATTTAGTGAAGTTATCAAGTTCTGGATGTTTAATTAATTCATTAATAATGTTTCTTGGTGATATTTAAGCTAGCAACAATGCTTAGGTTTCTGATACAATTCATAACCTTAAATACGTTTCTCAAGAAACTTCAGCTTATTAATGTTGATTACCAACCAAGTTACTAGATTTCCATGGCTCACTGCGGTCTAAAAACGTCGTAATTGCATTATACAATAAAAATACGGTCAAAGACAGCCATAGATTTTTGCAAATTTGTCTTTGATCGTTCGACTTTCAACTCAAACTTAATCTGGCAAGACGAAAAATTTATCAAAGACAAATCTTCAGACATACATGGCTGCCTTAGATCGTGTTTGTTATTGCTCTCTCAGTCCCATATGATGACAAAACTCTCCTTTAGTAGCTCATGTAATTAATTTTTAAAAAATGATGTTGGCATTGTAGCTATTTGACACTTTATTCAACAACACGTTGATGTTGGCAACATCATTATTTTAAAAATAAATTACATGGCCTACTACAGTACTTTTTTATCAAGCGGTAGTTTGTATATATTCACAGAGTAGAAATTTGATTGAAGTTTTAAAAGCATAAACCAACTCTTATTCCTTACATTATAGGGTCCATATGACGAATGGCTAATTTCATGTTTTCTCCACTTTTTACAGTTGTTCAATTCGAAAATATTGGTTTCTCACTTTCGTTTGTCTGTTGTCTGTCTGTTGGCGATTTAGTTAGACACGCAATCTCCAAAAGTTACTAGACCGGTTGTTGTGTGTTAACCAAAATTTATTTATTTATATCCACTAACAATTGTTTGCATTAAATCATTCGACAATAACTTAATTAGTTAATTAATTAATTAGTGTTTTCTGTAAAAGCTGTTTTTACCTTTTCCAATTTCAGCTTAATATTAAATTTATTAACATAAATTGAAAATTAACATATGTACCATCTTGGAATAGTTCATCATGATTTTTTTATTTTTTTATTGGAGTTCTTGTTCCACATTTTTCAAAAACATTAACAACTGACATAAATTACAAAACAATTGATGTAGACTTCTCGTTATTAAAAATATCGTTATTTAAGGGCTGATTACATTGCTTACATTTAAAAATAAAAGAGATGAACTGCTTTGGAAATACTTATAAGGAGGCATGGTTTTTATGTACAGTCGCGGCCATGGAAAACTGGACCACTTTGGTTTTAGTTGTTATTATTACTTCCTGTGCCAAATGTGTGAGTCTATACTTGTGATTTATAATTTGCATTCATAATTTTTAGATTTGCTTATAGGTACAGGGTAAATCAAAAAAATTAATTAATGACTCAATTTATTTTACTGATTAAACCAGAAACTGCAAAACGGAATGCTTTGAAATTTTGCAAACTTTTTAAAGTTATCGTAAATCGTTAAAAGTATTCATTTATCCCCTTCCTAAAAATTCATGACGTCATCTCAAAATTTTGTCGAATAAAGCCTTTTTAAATTATGCAAAATATTGTCACCCCATACTTATGATTTATCGTTGTATTAATATTTTTTAGATTAGAAATATTATCTCTTAACGAGATTTGAAATTTCGGACGTAATATAATTATGTAGAAAAAAATTATTTCTTTTTTTTGCATGAAGTGAATGTGTATGAATTGTATACATTTTGACTATAATTAAAAACATATCAATATACAAATTTTAAACGTACTCAACAGAAGAATACCTCGAATTTTTTAAACTAAAGTTGTTTTTGGACTATAAAGAATTTTTTAGGAGAAACTATAAAACACAAAAAATAATTTAATTGTATGAAGGGCCATTTAACCACCACAGACGCATTGTTTCTAATTGCATTGATATCCTATATAAACGCTGATTTTCTGAGAGATTATATTCCATATACGGAGAATTTAACCACAACAATAATTTATCGACTTGTGTCAATTCCTTCGGGTACAATCCGTCTCTGCATTACACCATCTGCATGCAAAGCACCACTTAAACTGTTGCATGGCGTGGGTGGTTTTCAGTACGAGCATCATGATATAGTACTCCCTCAATTGTTCCACTCTCTTTCTTGTGCTTTGTCACAGATTGTTGTGATGATTTACTCCTTAAAAATTTCAAGGCGGGGCGAACTTTTGCATACCGCATTCTCTTGCTTGCACCCTGTAAAGTGAGGTCACCCAACAATGTTGATGATATTTTATGTTGGAACGATTACGTATCAGGTTTATGGGTGTTATAAATTCTACTTTTTATTAATTCTTACAAGAATCTTCACGATTAACGTGCTGGAAGGTCTTCATTTCACTCGCGAACAACATACGTGTATCAGATGCTATCGTAGTATTGCTGTTAAAACACCATTCATCACTGGACAATGCGTTCTAATCGGCCGTTTCATCGTAAAACGACCATTAACAAGTGTGTTTTCGAAGTGCCAGAGAAATGAACTAGAAATGAAGAGGCTGACGTAATTTCCAATTTGTGCAATTTATATTAAAGCGTAAATCATATGGTAAGCGTTATATAAAGAAATGTGCAAAATGTGGTGGAAATTCCAGGCAATTAACGAAGTACATGTACAGGTCAATGAAATGCTGATAATGGTGTTTATATCATCGTAAAATAGGAACGATGAAAACTGAGTGTTGTGGTAAAAACGCTTTTTGCTTATTTTGTTTATACATATTTTAATATGTCTACAAGGCAAAGGAGAAACCTTGAAAATTGTTGTACCAGTTTTTATTAAAATAAAAATGAAAAATTTGAGAAAATGGGGCGTGATGGGAGATTTATTAAACCTGATGATGTTGACGATGGCAGTGATGCATGAGGATCATGAACTTCTGGCTCCTCTGGCAGTTTTTTATAACAGAGAAGATGCAGAGTAAGATTATCTTGGGCTACTGATGGATAACTGTTCAGTCTTTACAATGGAGTGTCAAAACTAACTTGTCTGCGATAAATCAAGGCTGTAAATAAAAATTCAAAGAAAATACATGTTTTTAAAATTATCATTGTACCAATAAGGGTACTCAAC